CTGCAAGAAAACTGCGAGAAAACTGCGAACGGGGATTGCTGGGAGGCCCCGGACCCCCGTCCTGCTCACAGTTTTCTCGCAGTTTTCTTGCAGATGCTCTACGCGGGAGCTCCTGCGCTCCCGCGTAGAGCGCGCTACAGTGGGTTTAGGGCTCAGGGTGAGGTTTGAAGGATAAGTTTCAAGGTAACGGAAAAGGGCTTTCAGGGATATGGTTTGAGGGTGTAGGGCTTAAGGATTACAAGGCTACAGGGTTTAAGGACTCAACATTAGGGGTGAACGGTGTAGGTGCGTTTGGTGTTGTGGCTTGGTTGTAGGGTTGGTGTGGTATGTTTTTCCTCCATTTTCTGCAGTGTTTGCATTTTGCGCAGTCTTTGGCAGACGCCCTGCTTCAGGCAGCTGTATACTGCGCAAAGAGAACATTCCCTTCGAGAGCTCATGAAGACGCATATTCCCGAGCGGCATACTTGTGTGACCTTGCTGTTTCGCTAGCGAATGAGTCGAGCGATAGTGGATGTTCAGGCCATATCCCGCTTTGATAGTCCAAATTCGGGCCTCAGCATCCTTTCCCTGCTCTTGTCGAACTTCACACGTCCTGTGGGCGGAGGCAACCCCACCTACACAGCTGAAGGCATCCGTGGCCCGCTGAAAGGTTGCCTTCGCCCACCGACCAGACGAAAAGTACCTCTTCATGGGACTTGGCTCCAAGTAAGCCACATTGCAACACAACATTAGGGATTCCTTTTTGTGGGCCCCAAGATTAAGGTCTATATTGAAGTCCCCCCCCAAGTTGGGAAACTAGCACATGATGGGACGAGAAATGATGTTCGAGATGCCGTGGCCGACCAAAACGCTCAACAGCTGATGTCCTAAACCCTAAACCCTAAATGGTACTTTCCACTTTCTTGTCCAGTATCCCTATATAGCCCCAATACCTAAACCCTAAACCCTAAACTTACCCCTAGGATTTTTTTACCCAAGCACGGAAACCGTTCCTTTGGTCAGATTTTCCAGAGTTCTCCCATAAGCAAGGACTCCGGCAAAACCCCCGCGGTTTAGGGTTTAGGGTTATAGGAGTTTTGTATAAGCCCTAGAGGAGATTAGCCACCTTGAACACGCTTTTACATAGGGCTAGAGGTGTTTAGAGGGGTTTAGAGGCCTTAAGGTTTATAGTACCATTGAAGGAGCGTCCAATGGGGTCCCGAATAGTCGGTTGCTAGGCTATGTTGGAGAGTAGCTGGGCGATGCTGGCATAGAATATGTACGGTTGTTCAAGCTTTCCTAAAAAGTTCGCAGGGGGAACCCGAAATCCTATTTCCTGCTATAATTACACCCTAAACCCTAAAGCCTGAACCCTACACCTTAGACCCTTAACAAGCAGATTAATCATGCTTGGCGGATTTGATGGTAAGACAGGGGGCTACGAACACCGTGCTTGAGGCCATAATCGAGTACTGTGAGGATGGTTTTTTGCAGCTTGCTGGGCTGCGTGCTTGCCTGTCGGTCTTCTTCCTGGCTGGTTTGCCTGGCTTCCCTTGTTGCTTGCTTGCCCCTAAACCCTAAACAGCGGCTTCCATTTTCTTTTCCATTACCAAATAACCCCTATAGACCCATATCTAATCCCAATTTTGGGAACTACCTGGAATCCCAGCAGCTTGGTTACTTGTTTGTTTGGTGCTTGATTTGTTGCTTGGCAACCCACCCCTTGCTTGATGGCCCGCTTGCCCATCACCTCCTAGCACCCATGACACAAAAGAGTAGTGTTTTTTTGGTGGTTGAACCTAGTAAGATTTTATCACTTATATAAAATACTATACCCCAAAAGGAGGATATAATCTTACTCTATACTGGGTACCATAGTATCCCTAAATAAAATATTACTCAAAAGGGTTTAGGGTTTAGGAAACAACAAAAACGTGAAAATGCCGCCGCCTAGGGGATCGCCTGTGTCCTGCATACTTACGCTTAGAAAGAAATTCTCAATCTCAAGCCCTATAACCTAGACCCTAGTTGCCGTGTCACTTCCCTGCAAAGAAAAAACGATCCTTTTGCGGTCAACCAAGCAGACCCATACCCTAAAATGTATGAGGGCTCAGGTAAGTTTTATCTGAAGCACATCTTGCCCCTGATCCCCTGGAGCCAAACCCCTCAGAGTACTGAAAGAGCCGCGCGATCTTAACAGAAATTGAAATCTCGGCAACATCCATCCCAAAACTGAGGCCCGTGTAGGTATGGCAACAAAGAGCCACAAATCACATGGCGAAATACGCGTGAGAATATGATGATCTGCGAGCACACAAATTTCTTGGCAATGGCACATGTCCACGGCAAGACGAGAATCCATGCGTAGACGGTAATTGTGGTCCCCAGCACTCTCTGCAGTTCGTCTTCTTCCAGTTTCCTCGCTGGTTGTTTGCGATGAACATCCAATTTGAATAATGTGCTTCATGCTCGTGCTCTTGCAATTGTTGTTTCGCTGGGAGCATGGTTTCCACCAATAACTAACAAAGCATTATCATGTACTGTGTCATGACATTACTCTTTGCATTAGAGATTGCTACTGTCATCAGTACAATTTTGTTGTTTCGAGAGTTGTGTTTTGCCGGTAATACTTGATATGACATGATCAAGCTTCCAGCGCCAGGCAACGTTCATACACATTTCATACGTTTAACAGGACTGCACGAAGGCATTGAAGTCGGAGCTACCAGCCTCCACTCAAGACTTCTTAACATCTGTCTACATGGGGCTCCATGTGAGCTATAGTCTCAAGTCCTAGTATCCCCCGTAATAACAATTAAAATACTCCTCTCTATAACCCCCTATATAACCTTTTGAGAGGCTTAGACTGTAACTCATGCGGGGGAGACCTCATAACAGGGATTCTGGCATAGTTTGGTGTCCTGATCTGGATACGTACCATACACTTCCAGGCTTGCAGCGCTAAGTGATAAGAGGGGTAAGCAAGAATAAGGATGCCTGAGCTAGCTCAAATGCAGGAATGGTTACAAGGAAACTTCAAGAAAAGAAGACACTAAATCCCAAACTGCGAAGCCTAAATTACCACGTCTGGCTAGCCCGAACTGCGAAGCTATGCCTGCCAGTTTAGGGTTTAGGATGGTTTAGGGTACCTTCGACCCTAAACCCTGAAGGTGTGAACCTCCAAAGGCGAAGCTTAAGCCGGCGAACCTTGGAAAGTCTCGAAGTACAGACCATCATACACCTCTAAGAAAAGGGTTAGGGTTCAGGGTTTAGGGCGAATACCCTGAACACTAACCCTAAGGCAAAATCGCAAAGGACAAGACCGTACTTGAGCTCCCATAACAAGTACTGAATACGAGAGCGGGGGATGTCTGATACTGGGAGAAAATGGGATCAGTTGCTTCGGTTTTTTGGTTTAGGGCTTAGGGTTTAGGGTTTTGGTGGTCCCCGTAATGGACACCAAGCACATACACTCACCAAAATCTGTCAGGAAGCCTACGTACACTGACCACCTACCCATCGAGAAGCCCTACCCCATCTGACTTGCAGGAATCCAACAGCAAAGGGACAAAGGGAAGTGCAAGCTTACTCTGCGCTCCTCGCCCTAGGCCCCCAATATGGGCACGTACCTGTTTCCTAGGTCCTAACTATGAGCCTTGAATTGGATTCACAAGGCTATAAAGCCATATGACGGATTTTTAAAGTCCTCCTCGACAAAAAGGGATTAGGGGCCAACAATTCCATCCCTAGATTTAGTTCCCAAACCCTATATGCTCTGGTCCCGTGGAGTTGATACCTCAAGGAAGAAAATGGTCAAGGCATTCATAAGGGACTCTCTCGAAACAGACACGGTTTAGGGTTTAGGTTTTTGGAGATAATCAAATGGAGAACAACACGGAACACAAAAGGACGACTGTGTCTCGACAGGGGAGATCTAAGGAAAGTGTACTGCACAGGCCGATACATTGGAATAGGGTCTGCGGAATATGTTAGACTGAGCTTATTTAAGGGCTTAGGGTAAGGATTAGACGGGAAACGTGTTGGAGTTCACTCAGGCTTCTACATTATTACTGAAGCACGCAACCCTGCACTCTAAACCCAGGACCAAAGCCTTCAATCTCATTCCCGAAACCCTAGGCGCTTCCCTATTAATATCGCTACATATCCCTTCTAGGTCTCCCTATACGTATACATATACGTGGGAGCCTTCCCAAGATTAGGGGTACGCTTTTGGTGGTTTCTGTAAGAATGATTAAAATATTTTGGGTCTATATTGGGGTCTCCCTACTTATGGACACTACCACATATACATATATACATATGTGTATACATATACATCTAGGAAAGACCTTTCAGTGCATCCTAAACCCTAAAGCATGAACCTTAGACCCCAGCTAGGGAAGCCTCTTAAAGAGAACCCGAAACTCTAAAGACTGGTGGCAATGTGCCCTGCACTTCGCATCCGAAATCCACCACGGCCACACTTTTCACCTGAGGGATCTAGAGCTTAGGGTTTAGGGTTTTGGGCTTAGGGTTTAGGGTTTTAGGGTTTTGGGCTTAAGGTTTAGGGTTTATGGTTTAGAGCTTAGGGTTTAGGGTTTAGGGCTTAGGGCGTATCATAGGGCTACCATGGGCCCCCTCCCAAAATACTCCCTCCAAACTGATGAGGCCTATGAAGCCTTTAAAGGCTTTCAAATAATCCCCAGTAGGGTCAGTTTGTTGGGGCCCATCTATATAGTGGTGGGGGGGGGAGTTCCAAACTCATGCTTTAGGATTTACGGTTCAGGGTTAAGGGGTTTATGCAAGGACCTAAAGAAGTAGACAGGGGTTTGGGGGTGTGATGGCGGCCGAAATGAGGAGAATAAATATTGCAGCAGATGGACAAGATAATTGAACATGGCATGGAAACTGGGTTTATTCAAGGCGCTCGAACGATTACATGTTGTGGCCTAGATATGTCCAAATATTTTGGGGTTCGTTATGCTGTAGCCATATGAGAACTATGGAAGAACACTATCAGTGGTTCTCAAGCTTCTAGAATTGTGCGCTCTGAGCCACGTTTAAGGTCCAGGTACAGTGGTTGTTTAGGGGCCTGAATAGGACCTACATCGGGTTTAAGGGTTGAATGTTTGCTTGGTGGCTGGACCAAGTAGGTCTATATTCTTGGTATAAAGCACGGTATATACAGTACAACCTAAAGACACCTATGCTCGTGCTATATGTTGGCTATGGTGTCCGGATTCAAGATACCCTGTGAACACGGTGAGAAGAGGGGGCGTAGCTCAAATTCATGAACACTCCTTTAGAAAAGGAAATGCCGGTGAAGCCTGGACAACTCTCCTTTTTCCTTTGCAATCCTCCAAAGGCTTTATTACAACATACTCCCGAACCCTATCTAAATCAATAGGCTGCCTTCCTTCTGGAAGACTGGGGATAATGTATCGTTTAGGGTAAGACCTGTGGCTCCACACCTCATTAACTAACAGGTTGATGGTTGCCCCTGCTCAGATGAATCGCGTCTGCGAAAAGGACACATGGTCTTCCGAAACGTGCAATCCTTTCAGGAAGCCTGAATCTTTGTGTTATTTGGGGTGGCTGTGTTGAATGCCTAAATCCTCGATGCTAAGCCTTTTAGCCGTGCGCTTTTGATTCGGGAAAACCCTCCTCCGGCCCTGCAGAAATGTACTGGACAGGCCTCAGGCTGTAGGATTTATAAACCCTAAAGCCTAAGCTTAAACCCTAAACCGCAGAAACATGTTCCATGCCTCAACTCTGAGACAGAGAAGCTATGATTGTCATACGGCTATTCTAGAGAGCTTGTTTCTTTTGGGTTTTATAAGTCCACTTTGGCCATCCATGAACAATCAAAAATCGGGTGTCATATTTGGGGCTCTATATAGTCAAAAACCCTAAACCCTATATAACACCCTCCCCCCTTTTCTTTAAAAAACAAAACAATTGCAAATGAGTGGCGGCAGTATCCGAAGTTCACCGCGATTAAACCCAAAAGATAAAAATAAGGCTCAGAACGCTGTCACGCGGTTTACATTAAAGGGTTTAGGAATTGGGGTTTCGGGCTAGGGATCGTGAGTATCGTGAGTCCTCCTTTTCGGTTTGATTCATATTCTGACAGAATAAGGACTTTGTGATGTTGGGTTGCCGAAGAGACACCCAGCTTAAAGAAATACCGAGAGAACACATCAGTTGAAGATATGAGGGTCGCTCCCAAAATTGGCGGGGGGGGGGCCCTTTTTGGGCGGTCTCTGTAATAAAGAGTAGAGTATATTGGCGTCTATGGAAACTACCATATAGGTTTTCAACACTAAAAATTCAATAACACCTGCATCCGAAAGCCCGATGTCCATCCGACCCACTGACTGCATTTGCGGGCGTTTCCGTCGAAAGTGCAGACGTGAGCACCGGTAGTTGTTGAACGTATGGCCGTCTACCTTCATCCCACCCTAAACCCTAGACCCTGAACCCTGATCCCCAAACCCTAACCCATTATCCAAAAATATTTCCGAGCCGCGATTGTCCGCACATATCCCTGGTAAGGAGTGCGCCTCGGTCAAATGCTTTGGATCGGGTTTAGGGTTTTGGAATTGAAAGGGTTTAGGGTTTAGGGTGTAGGGATAAGGGTTTGGGGATTAGGGCTTCGGGATTAGGGTTTAGGGTTTAGGGATTATAGACAAACCCTAAGGAGGATCCCCAGTAGCTTGGGACTAAAAAGGTCCCCCCTTTCTTGGGCCCCAAAGAGGGAAAAACAGAGCTTACTCAACACCCCTGATTGGGCATAGGAGAGACCCTAAAAGAACCCTGAGTTGGGGTTTAGGGCCCAAATGCAGGGTTTAGGGTTTAGGTTTGGCCTTATTAAGGTTTAGGGCTTAGAGCTTAGGGTTAGACCCATGATTAATAGCCCCCCTACTTTTAAGAGCCTGCATATCAAGATCCCTGTGAGAATCCCTATAAAGGGGAGGAAGGCTTGAAGAAGCTGAACAAAAGGTGGTCAATTACCAGAAGGCAATGCGGGACCGTATGCTAGCACCTAAACTTGGTGGGGAGAGAGACGGGTTGCAGCCCTGGATCCCATATCCCTTTACAACCCTCCACATGTCCCAAGGGTCCCTTGACCACCCTTATTTCAAAAAAAACTTCACCCTAAACCCTAAACCCCATGTCTGCCCAGGGTCCCATCTACCACAAGATTGGCCATGGGTGTACGCGGCTTCTCGGAGGGGGTCCTTGAGGTTGCGGCAGGTCAGCGTTGAGTCGTTCGGGTTCATTGATTAGGCCTGGGTTAAGGATTTAGTCTACGCGCACTTCTCAAATACACAAAACCAACAGCCTTCGAGCCTCAAGATAATGGGTATACAGTCTTTTGATAATGGGTATGATGGAAGTCGAAGTAGGACTTGGGATCTAAACCCTAAACCCTAAACCCCAAACCCTTAAACTAGGGGTTGGGGGTTGGGGGTTGGGGCGGGGCGCGCGCGTTCAGTCTGAATAGGGCTCTAATCCAAACTATACCAAGGGCCAAGGCACAGCTTTCCAGGTTTAGGGTTTAGGGTATGGGAACTTGTCGACATTATCTTTCTTTTGCCCTCGATAAGGACCCCCAAGAATCCGCTTGTTTTGGTGCAGGGGCTCAGGGTTTAGAGTTCAAGTTTTGTGCCCTTAACCTGCAACCCTAAAACCCTGAAACCCGAGTCGTGGCTAGTCCGAGCCAGTTCGCGTGAGGTGCACGGAATAATTATGTGAGAACTATCCTTGCGGTTTGGGGTTTAGGGCTTAACGTTAGATAGGTTGTACTTAGACTAGGTTCTGCTGTAGACGGATAATCTTATGCGTGTTCAGGACACTCTTGGAAGCAGGATCAGCGTCTTGGCACATACCCTTCTGAGCCCTAAACCTGTGAAGCCAAAACCGCAAACGTGCATTCTTGAACTGAAGCCTGAAGCTTGGAACCCTACACCCAAATCCCCGAACCCGTGACCCTGAATCCTATACACCTCAAACCTAGGCCCAACCTTAAACCTAAACCCCAAGTGCTAAATCCCAAGCCCTAAACCCTAAGCCCTAAGCCCCAAGCTTAAGCATCAAAAGACTTTGAAGAGGGCTGAAATAGGGGAGGGTCCGGATCCTAAACGTGTTTCGGGAGCGTCCAGGGGGTTCTGAATCCTAAATCCTAAGCCCAAATCAAAAGCCGTCAATCATGAATCTTGAGATCGAAGCCCTAAGCCCTAAATCCTGCGCCGCAAATTCTCAAGCCTAAATCCTACCACTCAAATGTACGCAGAGTATAATCTCAAAAGAATTGTGTAGGCATAATGGAAAAGAACATGGAGAAAACTACTACTACTACTACTACTACTACTGCTACTGCTACTGCTACTACTACTACTACTACTACTACCACCATCGCTACTAGGAGGGGTTATGAGGGTTCTGTAAGAGTTACATAGGGGTTGTATAGGGGCTTTGAAACCCCAATTTAGGATCAAGTGGGAGTTGCCTTAATTCCTGAAGCCTTCGGTGCTGCCAGAAAATCTCAAAGGCCTCACACTGCCCCATACAGCATGCCGTTTGCTGCTACTCTGTGCACACGCCACAGCCCCATACAGTTGGAAGATTGGAACGCTTGCCAACACTCCAGGAAAGTGAGCTCTCAGCACCTGGCCCTTTAGCCGCTGGCCCTCGAGCCTACCGGGCTTTGGATCCTCGGCTCTCCAAGGATCACGACACCTTTCAAATCGTGCGCACGCTTGGGATCAGTGACTTTTTGGTACACAGCACGCTGGACTGTCGAGCTCCTTGAATTGAGCTTCATGTGCACTAGGCCTGTCTCGATGCTGTGAAGTTGCAACTGTCGAATGTTTCAGTTGCACCAAAGCAGGGAAACAAACAATTGTGTGCAAACAAGCGACTGGCGCTGTCAGCCTAAACTCACTATGGCAGGACACTGTTGTGTGCGGTGTGCATGATTAACGCGCTCGACACTGGCGACAGTTGTAGACTCATGTCCACCTGTGCCTGTGGACCCCATTTCTCAAACTGGAGGTTGCTCGGTGTCTAAATGCGGTGGAAAGGCTCAAAGATTCCCGCGCTTCCAATGGACAAATAAAGTTTGCCTTTTTCGGCTGTCCATTTGCATCCTCGCTGGCACCTGAGCAAACAAGTCCCGTGTTTCACGCACCTGCCTCAAGCATATGAATATGCTGCGGTCAGGTTGCTGCTGGATGGGGGCCTCGATATCCCCGTCGCGAGTTAACTTGATGGTGAAGCCGTCATTGTTCCAAGACCATTCCTTCGATGACTTAAATGCTTCCGCCTCTTGTGCTGCGCTGGAGGGCATCCTTCCAAAGGCTAGCAAAACCAAGCTAACGCAGTCAAGCTGCCGTGCCCTTTAACCAGGACATTGTTTTGGAGATCTGGCAAGAATGCTTTTCAGCAATGCTTTCAGCACTTACGCATTTGTACGTCGACTGCTTCCCCCCGGAAACTGTGCATAAGAAATGGTACAGGCTTGCAGTTCCCAAAGCAGTGTTACCCGTATGTTCAGATACCTTGACCCACGACACCTTTGGTTCGACTCAGTAAGGCAGCCTCGTCCGAAACACCCTGCGGCCACTGAACTGGTTGTGGGCGGCGCCCTCAGATAGCAAGAGCATCAGAGAGCCATCAAGAGACCCTGATGCACCCGTACACTGAGTACAAATTTCTTGCGCCCTGAACATTGGGTACTTCTTGCTACGCAATTGCCTCCACCACCCATCTCGAAATGGATGTTCTGCGCACCTCCCACCGCTGGTCAGGCATTATCCCAGCATGTCTTCGGGGTATAGTCCCCCTTAAGTAGATAGAATATGGCATTGGATATGCTATAATAAGATCCCCATATACCCCATATTCTATCTACTTAAGGGGGACTATAACCCTACCGGAGCCGAAGCCTCCAAAGAGCTCTTCAAAGAAGCCGCTCGCCATGGGCAACCTCAGGAGCCAATGAATTTTATACCATATCCCCAATATAACCCCTATGTAACCCCAGTTTCCATTATCCCAGTATAATACTACTCAAATAACCCCTATGTAATCCCAGTTTCCATTACATTTTCCATGTTCTTTTCCATTTGATTCTCCATTCTTGGGGTAATTTTGGGTACCAGGGTATAAACCTTAAACCCTACGATGAATTAAGCGGTTTGCAATGCATTGAGCAGCTGATCATAGTATTGGGGGTTTCCCAAAATTAGGGGTACCCTTTTGGGGGTCCCTGTAATAAGGACTATAGTATTTTGGGGTCTATATTGGGGTCCCCCTATTTTGAGAAACTACCATTTATGGCTCAAAGCCACGCGCATTACTAGCAAGCTGGCAACTGGAAATTGATTCTGTACAGCTGCCGGCGTCTCGTCCATCTGCTGATGTCACAAATCAGCGATGACTCTGCCCAAGCTCGGGCTTCTGGAATGAGCGCCCGGTGGCGTCGAGAAAGCCAGTCAACAAATTTGTCTTGACTTTCAGATTCGAGCGCCTCGTTTAGGCATGAGCAGGTGAAACATGCGCCATTGAGGCTTTCTTTGTGCAGAACTCCTTACTGCTTATTTGCCATCTATGAGAAGAAGGCCGGAAAAGCTGCAGAAAGGATGCTGCATGCATGAATTCTGCTCAAATGCAGTCTGGCCTTGCAGCGTCAAGTTTGAAATGCCTAGCTCTGCATGCCTACCAGCTCTTGCCAAAGGTCCCCTGCCTTGCCGTCGTTCGCCCCTCATTGGGGTTCAACAGCTGCAGCAACTCTTCCGGGACGCCTCAAATTTGCATGAACAGGGCACAAAGTCCTCAGGGGCTGGGAAGACACTGCTGCCTGTCTCAGTGCATGCGCCAAGTGGCCAGTTTGCAATGATATCTGGTAGGCCGTCTGGCCAAACGCGTTGGGGATTCGGACATCTGCAGATGCTTCGATCAGCGCTTGCAAAGCTTCACAGTTGCCGCGAGCTGCAGCGCAGACAAGAGGTGTACCGCCATGCATCAAGGCATAGTCGCGGCGCATGTCCCGATCCCACAGCCGATATAGAAAATGAGCCACGCCGGCTTTAGAGCCCATCTTGAAGTATGCCTTCGCGTTAAGGTCTAAACCCTCTTTCAGCAATCGCTGCAGGCATCGACCAGAGCCCGCCGCAGCAAGTTGGTGAAGGGTCCCAATACCAACCCATTCATACCAAGCATCGGCTCTGGCCTCTAGGAGAGGATCCACCAAGCATGGGAAGTCATAACAAATCGCCACACTGAGTGGTCGGGTGTTTAGCACAGTGCTGCCATTTGGGTCTGCTTTCAATTGCAGAAGCGCTTGCACTACGACTTCGCTTCCGACCTCGCAGGCAACCATCAATGGGGTCCATCCCCGGTCGGCCGGTGAGTTCACGTCAGCACGGTAGCTTACCAAAAGCTCTGCAATTTGAACAGAACGGGAGAAGCAAGTCCACACGTGCAATGGTGTCAGACCCCCGCGCAAGAAGAAGTCACTGTCCGGATTCAATGTTCTCGCATGCACATCTGCCTGCGAAGCAAGCATGGATGACACCAAATCCTCGTTGCTTCTCGCCACTGCGTAGTGAAGATCGGTCCACCCATTGTGGCTGTCTTTCCTGACCGCTACATTACAATTAGAAAAATATCTTTTGGGCGGAGCACTTCTTTCTTTATCTGAAGCAACTGCTTGCCTGAGCTCCTGGCAGAGAAAGGAAGGAACGTGTTCTGGCCACTTGCCGCAGGCATGCAGCTGCATGCAAGCTGTCGGACGGGCTTGAGGACGGGCATCGCAAAAGCTTGCTGCGCATGCATTCCAGCATCTGTGCCTTGTGGCTCTGACCAGTGGCCCTGTACTCCTCAACCTGGCATTCCACAACCTGCTGCATGGCTGCAGCAATATGATGTCGGTCTTGCTCTTGGGTAAACTCGGCACTGCACGGAGAGAGGTGGTAGAACATTCGGTAAACCAGGTGTTTGACAATCGCCTCGCTGCAAATCAGCAGCACAGGCCTTGTGCCCAGCAGTATGTTCACGGCCAATTCGAATTGACACCAGCCGCGCGACTTCCAGGACGCATAGCTCATCAGGTGACCATGCTGGTGATGTTGACCTGGGATGCATGTTACTAGTTCTGTGCGCGAAGCTGATCATTGCCACTCTTGCTTCGTTTGCCTGCGTCCAAGTGACTAGGCGCAAGAATAACAAAAAAGGAGCTGTCAGCAACGTAGGTGTGTAAACTCATCACTGCTCTCCTCTGCTGTCAGGAGCTTCTGGAGTCTGAAGCAACGTGTGGACCCGAATTGGATGCAAGACTGGAGCTAATGTGGCCAAGGCGCGTGAAAGCGCTGCTGTCTGCGCAGTCTCCGCAGCGAAGGCCAACTTGAGGAATACAAATATAGTCAATCCATAACCACCCAAAAGCTGCCGCTTTCCTGGCTGCATGTCACGTTCCTCTAATTCTAAAGCACAACGAACCTCCAACCACACTGAAACAAAGCTTGTGCCAGAAGACCAGCGTCAAATCATCGGAGCAAACTGACTGCTTGAGACCGCCTCGCACAAATGCCACGCCTTCCTGGGACAGATGCATCTTCCCAGCACGCATGTTTCGAAGGGCGTGCTGCAACGCCAGAAGCTGAATCCTCAGCTCCAAGCTTTTAAGTACAAATCCAACTCAAGCCAATCCCGTCCTGGATTGGACTACATCCATGAAAGCCAACAAGCAGCTCCGGTGAGGTGGTCTTACTTCCAATGTGCAGTAAGGAAACAAGAGTGAACGCGCAACCGAGCAGACCTGCATAGCCCTGCTGTCCCACCCTTGCTCTCCGCTACGAACGTGTGAGATTGGCGTGATGCGGCACATCTACACGTACTCATGAGAGGAGCTCGCTCTAGCTTCTTGAATGATTTCTAGGCTCCGCTTTGGATCTGGATGGCTGGCGCTGGACCACTGATGCGAGACGAAGGTAACAAAGCCAGTCCTGAAAGTCAAGCAGGGCATCTTGAAAACCTATGGCGGCGAATTGTCTTCGGTGCTTGGCAAACCTACAATGGATTTTCGCTGTTGGGCAAGCGCGCCATCTTCGGTAAGCATTTTTCGTTGCCCTGATTTGAAACATGATCTTCAAATACAACACCGTACCGGTGTCCCGTGCTCGTACTCGCAAAGCTTTCCAGCTGCCAGGAGTTCCTGGTGAGGACTCAACTCCTTGGCGCACGTCGATGCTGGTTCATGCATATCTGGTGCTAGCAGAGCTAGACGCAGTTTAGTCATGACCTTTTGTTGAGCTGCATCCAGCTGAAGGAAGTCGTCAACGCTAATGACCCACATTGGGAAAAGCCGTGAGTTGCTTGACAAAGATGCGCTGGCTCCTCTGCACTGACGCGACAAGCTCAAGTACCTCTCCAACAGTCTACCTGTGCTGGGACGTTGCCTGGCCTATAGTTATGTGATTTCGCAAGCCTACTCAGTGAGCTAGCTGCCCGTGCGAAAGCCCTGTCAAAGTAGCAAATCCACTCGTAATGGACCTCACATTGCATTTCCCGACTGTCCCTTCGCTCCTGGCAAAGGTTCACCCACGAAGCCAGCCTGACGTCGCCCACAAACACTGAAACGCCTGAAAGTTGAAGCCATGGCTCAAGCTGAAGAACCAAACTGTAGCATGAACCTACCAAATTCTCCCATGACTACTGGCCGTCAAAGTTCTTGTTGTGTCTATGAAGCCGCGGCTCAACTCCAGCCCTGCTGCGAATGCCAAGCCAAGCAGGTTTGGATTATTCTTGTAGGCCATGATCCACGGAGTGGCTGCAGGAAAAGATTTCATCTTGTGCTTGTGGCTGCTGCTGCAGCTTCAATATCTTCAAGTCCATGGATGGCACGTGCTGGTCTCGGGTCTACATAATGCTGAGCAAACGCGTTTCTGCACGACATCTTGCCGCTTGGCAGGTGGAAATGTCAACTCGAGCGGCTCGTGCTCAGCACGATGCTCGGATTGACGTTTGAGGTGGCAACTTCGTTTGAGAGCCTGCAGCCTCCTAGGCAGCCTGGGAAAATTAATGCTCGTGCTGCTCAGCCTGCTCTGTGTGTCTAAGTCTAAGCATTCATGGCCCATGGCCTTGCAGCACATTCCAGCCATCCCACGGAGCACATGTGGCATCTATAATTTGTGTGAGCTGTGAGACGTCAACTTGATGCATACCTCCTCAGGCATGAGTGAATTAAATTTGGATTCCTCGTACCTTGGCCAGGTCAAGTTTGAGCACCATGACTGGACTTTCACCGCAGCCAACAAGACTTCAATGCTCTGGAGAATGGGTTGATGATAAGACATGACAAGTCACACTTCTTGTACCAACTTGCCTTGTCTGTTGCGGATGGTGGCATCAGCTCCAGCGTCCAGCAGCCTGGGTCTCATGGTCAACCGGACCAACTTCCAAGGCTTAAATGCTTAAATGAACACAGCGTGTTTACCAAAGCTACGGAACGTAGACAAAGTTGTTCAATGTGTAGGCAATGTACGCAAAGTTGCTTCTTATCTTTGGGATGCAATGGGCTGGATGCCATCGAGTGGCGTCGTCAGAGCTGCGTTGTTCCCCCTTGCTGCCGCAAATACCAATGGGGTGCCACCGCGCACCTTGGGCATGTCTCGGCGCACGTCGCGATCCCAAAGCAGACCTCAGCTGGGACAGAGCAAATGGCAACGTTCTGGGATCAGCGGCACCTCTCCATTGAGCTGCCCGCAAGGAGCAAACATATCTTTTGAAGCGATCATGTCTGAATGCCAGGTGGCTTAATGCCATGAGGAAACCCGAGCGGGTACCTGAAATGCACTCTGCTCTTGATCTTTCATTGCCTTCATTGTGCTTTATGCTTCAAAAACTATGCGGCGTTAGCATGTGAGATGCAGTGGACAGCTGAAGCATCAATTCAGTCCAGGTACGAACTTTCATGTTGCAAGTCTCATTCAGGTCCAGACCTGCTTCTAGCAAACGCCTTGGCGAAAGTGTGCCTACAAAGGAAAAGTGCGCTTGAACTGCACTGGTCAATTGATTGCTGTGATGGGTCATGTGGCGACAAAAGCACCTGGGCTCACGACGGCAGAGTCAGCGCAGTACTCATTGCCGCCATCACATGCAGTGCGCCTCAGCGGGAAAGCTTGATCCTCAAGCTCCTTGAGCACCCAACTGCCAAAGTTCTGGGGCTTCCAGCCCATGAGAAATGTCAAGGGACCGCAGCTGCTGGGGCACAAATAAATTTGAATCTTTCTTTCTGAGATTTGTTTTGCTGAGGAGGCGAGTGAAATGCACATCTAAAGGAAAAGACATGGCACTGAATGCCACACCAAGTGTTTGCGTACGCGCGCGGCGCGCGGCACTTATTTTGCAATTGAGCCACTCATGCCGGCCCATCGAACATTCACATCAGCACGGGCTGCCAGAAGGAGCTCCACAAGAGAGAGCTGGTCCTCTGAAGCCGCCAGGAAGAGCGGAGGAATCCTTAAGCTGAGGTTTCTCACTTCTGCCAGAACTCTTGCTTGTCCATAAGCACAGGCGTCGCCAGCTAATCATCGTGATCTGCTGGAAATTCAAGCTAATATGCAGTGGACAATTGAGCATTCGACCTGGCTGTGCTTGCACTCTTCAGTTTCTACATTTTCTACGCTCAAAACTCACTGCCAAAGTCCAAGAGTCACCGAGCCATGCGTGGAGTTCGGGTCGGCTTTCAGGCGCAGCAACGTCTGACAAGCTAGCTCGCCTCCTGATTCGTGAATTGAAGCATGCGCACACAACCTCAATTGCTCTGGCAGTTTGCACTCAATTTCGCGCATGCGCCAACAGCTCCTGAGTGACAACTGAGCATGAGCGGAGTCCAGCCAAAATCGGCCGTGCTGTCCAAATCAGCACGGTTCTCCACAAGGATTTCTGCAATGTCGGGGCTGATGGCAAAGCAGGCCCTGCAGCTGAAAACACAGGGCCATTACTCACCAAATCCAAGTATTGAGGGGCAAATCAGGACTCCTGCATCCGAGTGGCCATACGTGCAGAGGCGACATTGCAGGGCGCAAAAAGAAGTCTTTGTCTGCTGCTTTGGTCTTTGCATTCACGTTGGCCCGAGCTCTCAGCAAATTTTTCAACATGTAGAGATCGTTCCGAGCTACAGCATAATGAAGATTTGTCCAGCCGTGCGTGTTGAGGTTGCGGGGAGAGTCTTGGAAAAAGGTAGTCCTCGAGCTCAACGATGCATTCACTGCCTTGGACGAAGGGCCTCCGTCTGGACATTGGAGCAGCTTGGTCCGCATGCAGTCCAAAAGCTGAAGCTTGTGCAGATTTTGGGACGAGCGCAAATCATTCGCAAGGGCCTCGATGACCTGAGTTGCTGTGGATTGAAGGGCCAATGTGATCCCAAGGCTGATAGTGTGACGTACACTTTGCCAGATCGCTTGTGTAGACCTGACAACAGAAAGAGCAAGACTCTGCTTGCCTGGGTCAGGCCAAGTCACATGGTTGATGGCTTCGCCCACGAACCTAGATGGTATGGGTATACGTTGTTTTTGGGACATGTTGCCCTTGTCTCATTCTGCTTACCCTCTGCGCAAGGTCCACATACTTAGCCGTTGCAGCCGGAGTGACTGTCGGTCTTCTTGTCTCGTGAACTCCCCGCAGCACGGGGATAAATGACTGAGGACCTCTGCAGATAGGTTATGACGGTCACGCTGTGCAGGAGGCAATCAACAAGTGTTTGTTCAGGCCCCATCTCCATTTCAACATGTTCACAAATTGTTTTCCATGCCATGCAGCACATCCCATGCACTGCATGCAACAAATGGCGACTTCTGATGCAGGTTTGATCTCGTAATGCGCGGTTCTCCAATGTCTAGTTTCTCAAGTTGTGGCAACATTCAGATTTGCATCAGAATTGCTTTACACCCAGCCATGTGCATCTTAATTTCCAATCCCTGGCCTTAACATGCACATGTCGGACAATATCCTCGCTGGCGACGTGCAGTACTGGGTTGGTTCCTTGGCTTCAGCTGGGTCAGCCACACTGTGCAAATAATGCCGAGTGTCGAACAAATGCGAGCAGTTCCTACTCGTGTTGCTCGCATGATTCAACAGCTTTCTACAGGTAACCCCAATGCCAAGTTTCCAAGCAAGACGTTGACTGCTAGCTCAAACTGACACCAACCTCTTCGTTTCCAGGAAACATAATTCATCAGCCTGTCAGCGACAAGGCTACTTTCACGCCTGCTCAAAGCAAGTAGTGCGTGTCAACCAGCTGGTTCACTGATGGAAAACATCATTCATGAGATGTGCTAGCCTGCCAGTCTCATGACTCTGTGCGGGGGCAAGCACGGCAAAGAAAGAACTCTGAGCGACGTAAGTGTGGAGGCTCAGGACGGCATCCTGCAGGGATTCTTTTCTGGCAATGCTGCGTACAGCGGTTCCAACAAAAAAGCTGGGTTCGGCTGTCGTAATCGACTCAGAGTTAGAGGCAGCTGGGTGTACCAGCAGGTCAAGAAAAGAATTCCTGACAGCACATTGGGCTCAGGCCGCACCTTCAGCTGCTGCTGCTGTTCTGCTAGCTCCTCTGGGTCTTTGCAACAGCATGCCTGCGGAATACAAACGAAGTCGATCCAAAGCCAGCCTGAGGACATGTTGAGGTTTCCAGGGCAAGCGTGTAGGTCATTACTGTATAAACTCTTCGAAGTGCTGATGCTCGCATGCATCGTCTTGCAAAACGTGCTTCAGTACCACATCGCCTTGCACGATCTTCTTGAGGTCCTTTGTGGACAAGCTGCGGGTAAGCCCTAAGCGTACCAAGGAGATCGTGTCGCTGGCGAGAGTTATCTTGTTGTTCTGGATTGAGAGCAGCATGCGTTGCAGTGAGCGGAGCTGATGATTTTCTGGGTCAGGGTGATCGAAGCCCGACCACTCGTGCGAAATAAATGTAACGAAGCCATCACTGGGCTCATATTTCTTCAGTTTTCCAGCAGCCAGCAGTACCTGGTGAGGCTGCAGTTCATCTAGCTCCAAAACGTCCGCCGCATGGATCACCCACATGGGGAAGCGCCTGTCACGCTCCGCACACGTGGCCGCCCCCGCGGAGGGGCGCAAGGAATAGCTTCCACGGCCATGGCCATGGCAAAGAAAACAGCTCATCGCAGCCTAGTGCACGTGCCAGAATGTCTTCAGCAATGTGGAAGGTTTGAGAATTGACACCGTATGTGGTTCACGAGCAAATGCCATTCAGAGTTCTTCTTGCATCGACTCCGAGGCCCTGGCGAGCACAACAGTATTAGAGAGCCATGTGCGGCCCGGCATCTCGCCTTGCATGTTGAGATCATGCATTTACGCTGTTCAGGACTGAAAGGCACTCGCTTACTGCACTGCAGGGTAACTTCATGACTTCTATGTGGTCGTCCGAGGCACTGAAGCTGAATTGGCCATGTGTGGCATGGCCCAGTCTGTCACACTTGACTACTTGCCAGCGCTGGCAAAGTCCAAACCGGTGGGTTGGTAAGAAGGGTCTTCAGCGCCAAGGTGTGGTATGTTCTTGGGTGATCAGCTGAGTTCAGAGCTGCTTAGGGTAGGGAAGGGATAGCGCAGAGAGTTGTTGGCAACATTTACCAACCGCTTGGGCTTGTTCCTGTTGATGTTGCCATGCCTGGATTTCATTCCAAAATTGGCTGCGGCAGTCAGAGCAAGCTGTGTCAGGCATGCTGCGCAGGAGGCGCACCATGTGCTACACACTTTATTCAGGTTAGAGGATTGCCAGTGGCAGCCTTTCAAACAGCTACTGTCTGCAATGCTATGACGAGCTGCAGGACAGCATGGCTGACCAACTCGTAGAAATCCCAGCTTCCTTTCTGAAATCTGCTGAGTGTGCCACGACCTCTTCGCACTTCACCTTGTTCTGCAACTATGGTTGACTGCGGGATTCCACAGGCTCGCGCACGATAACGCACGCATCATCTTTCGGTGTCAGTTCTACTAGGCAAGCTGAAGCATTTTGCACCGCATCCTGAGGCCAACGCTCAGCTTCCTTGCGGCCAGGGCAGCCTCCACACGGATCCGTGTTACCATTTGTGCTATCGTTTCTGCGCAACTTTCAGGACCGCGCCTCCTTTTCCTCTTCCCGCTGTTGCGCTAGCCGCTCCTCCTCCAGCTTTTCATTTTTCTGTCGGTGCCTGGGCGCCCCGCTTCGCTGGACATGCAAAAACTGAGTTGAGCCAACCCTGAGCATCGCGACCATTCCTCCAGCCGCTCTCGCTGCTTCTCACGATACTTCGCCTCCCTCTGCTGCCTTGAAAGCTGTTAAGAAGCATGTACGTTTGTCTGCCTGTGTCTCTGTGCGATTCTGTGCGTATATGTATGTTCGGTTCCGTCTCTCTGCTCTGGGAGAAACACCGTAGGAGGTTTTGAAGGAGCTACTGTGGAAGGAGAAGTACATACTGTACACACATGCACCCGCAAATACCTTCGCAAATGCGGATAGATGGGTAGATACATAAATACATACTGCTCCATATCCAGTCACGTTAAGAACGAATTATCCAGTCACGTTAAGAACGAATTGACGAACTTGTTCTGACCCAATGTGGTAGTTTCCACCTTCTTTTACAGTATCTCAACTGCCCCGAAGCCCCGATATTTCTGCCAAGAAATTGCTTTCACGGTCTGACACTACAGGCATCGAGCCTTTTTTGTTCTTCCTCCTTGTGGGCCTTGTCCGCTGCCTGGTGAAGGAATGCGTGCAGTTACAATGTACATGCAGGGGTTATATCCGGGTTTGTAGGGAAACGGGTGAATAATAATGGACAAGAAAATGGAAACCACTACGTTTTGACTTTGGGCACAACCATTTGCTTGGGACCAGTGCCACCTGCTGCTTCTCCAACTCCTGCTGGCTCTTTTCAGCCGCCCCATCCTCACGTCAAATCCCATGTGTTTCGCGAAGGACTGTACGACAACCAATTCTTGTTTTGTTGACCCGTGGCCTCCAATGCTTCACAAAACCCTGCTTTGCTGCTGCTGCCCCGTCTAGTCACTGATCAATAAGGTCACCTAGGTAGGATCAAGTTGCATGCCAACACAGAAGCGTTTCTCTTTGTTTTTTCCTGGCTTGCTGTCGAAAGCACATGCATCGAAGCTCCACGTATCGATGCTTGAGCTTTCTGCTAGGCCGCTTCCGTCAGCATCACAGGCGAACGGAATGCCAAAGCAACTATGTAACATAAATGGAAGGTCTTCACCAATGAAGTACCCATGTGCACATGCACCTCATCTCTGAGATGAAGGCACAGTTCGGTTTGGACTGTCAAATCCTCAAGGCATTGCCTAGGGAAGCAATCAGAGGTTTTGTCTGAGCTAAGTTGCAAGTTTTGCTCCATCGACTCATGGAAAAGATGGGCTGCGGATTTCACCGGCTGTGTCTTGCCCACCAGGCCTGAGGTCTCTGTATTTTGTCTATGTTGGCGCTGACGCCCAGCAGCCGTTGTGTAGAAAAAGGCTCTCTCACCACAAGCTGACCTTGGCTAGCAAAGGCTAGCGGATACCATCTGTTGCAACTCAACGCTGTCAACCATGTGAATTTTTCAGCCGAGACTCCGTGGCATCCCTTTTTGCCGAACTGCTGCTTCTCGCAGCCATCTCGTTTGTCAAGCTGAAATCCTTACTTTTTGTGATCTCAACATGCTCCGCCGCTCTTGGTCTGAGTAGCACAGGCCTATCAAATGGAAAAAGCGTGGCCTATACATGCCAAGTAGCAATGGTCAAATCCTCTGGGTCCATGCTACAGCCCGGGGAGCAAGTGATCGGCGCGCTCCTGGCATTTAGTTCGCCCGACAGCTGCCGCGATTTGCAATTCTTCTGATACTCCGCACGCTGGGGTGCTCCAGCTGATTAGCACATTTCCTGCAGGCAAGCTGCTTGGCTGAAAATGAGGACGGCCAGAACTCTGCTGAGTCCTTCTGACCTGCCCGCCGCAAGGTAGGGAGAATGCACTGCCAAAACCGCAAAATGGACCACCCGAGATCTAAAGAGGACTCTCACCGGAGCACGTGGTAAAATCAACTTAAAATCTAACTTTGGCGCCGATGTCAACATGTAGGAGATAAGATACAACTGAAGTCGCTCGGACATGCCTCTTGGTATGACGCCAAGAACTTTCAATGCTTCGGCCACCAGCTGCGAGCAAAAGAAATCCTGCCAAGCAACCGCAGGAGACCGGCAACAGTAAAGTTTTGGCTTGGGAAGAACACGTGGAATCCCCCTAGAATCTGCACTATCAGGCACTAATAGAATGTCTTGCAGGTCCTGCTGTCCGCCACCAGTCGATCCTCTGTGTCGCAGCTTGCTCACCTAATCTTTTTGCTCAGAGTGCAAAGAGTGACGGTTGTTCCCACCGTGGGCGTGACTGATGAGATGAAGGCTAACAACGTAAAAGCTGGCATCGGACAGGTTGACATTGCATCGCCCAGTTGCGGAGAGGTTGTAGGGCTTGCCAATGACCTTGCCAACCCACTCCTGGGAGATGTCTTGTACAATCCACGGGGCAGAATAATCACAAGGCACAGCGGCAGTCACAACGCCTGTCATTTTTTCAGACTTTGGATCTGTCCGGGCCTTGCTGCCTAGATTCGGGAAATCAAACACATATTACGTCGCGCATGCGTTGTCACATGGTTACGCTGAAGCCTGCTTTGTTTTCGCCCAGGTTCCTGCAAAGCAAATAGCGCCTCTTGATTTCGCGTGCATCGAACACCTAAGATCAAGTCTGGCCGCTAAAAGTTGTGCACAGCAGCTGCTACGAAGCAGTGAAGATCCAAAAGATTCCAAAAGCATGTCCCAGACCCTAACCTCTAAGCATTACAGCAGCTGCGATGCTCTTTCCCCACGATTGCTACCACTATTACAATGATTTTTCTTCACGCATTATGACAAGTTGCGCCGCAAGGCCATCTCCGGATACAAGTTCCTGAGCGTTACACACTTTAAAATGGTGATCGAAACCTCTGACCTGCCTCACGCGGAACGTGCAGCAAGCAACAATCCAAGAGTCTGCCACCCGTTGGCCAAGAAGGTTCTCCAAGTGCAAAGTCCGACTCCCTCATTGCCTATGAAAGCGGTTGAGGCACCAGCTGTCAGCCAATGCGCATGATCCACGCCAGCACATCATAGCACATAGAGCACAAGTATTGTGCTTGCCTGTGGCTTCGAGGATGCCGATTGTGTCACCTTCCATCCTCAAAATGAGACCTGCGACGTGCTTGCTTTTGGTTTTCGGAGAAGCATGGCTGATGGCCTGGGGGACTGCTGAATTGGAGGAGTAGCTTTGTCTGTGCTTGGGCCCTCCACACAGACTTGGCACCTACGTGATCGAAGCGGCCACCAGCTGAGGCCGCGCGAATTAACCTGATCACGGGCACTGCGGCTGGTTTTCTTGTGCTTGTGATTGCATACGCGCGTCTTTGCGGCCTCGGGAAGGTGCCCTCGGACTTGAAAAGCAGGACATCGCCCGTCTCCTTGAGGATCCGAGAATCCCATATTTCGAAGCTTGTGTCAACTCATATCCCGCAACGTGCATGCCATGTGCTGACCGGCCGCTGCAACGTGCTTGAAGGTCTCTGGTGAGATGCGGCTGACCTTCCTGGGATGCAGTCACTCTTCTCAAACGGCACGGCTGCCCTCTGGCTGATGGGTTGGTATCTGGGAGTCCTTAAGCCTAGAATGGCCATGCGCACCGAATCCAGCGCAAGCACGACATCTCGGGTGGAATGGTGCCTCTCTGCTTTCGGTGGCTTGTTCCTTTTGCAAAACAACCCGCAGTTTGTCCAGTGCCTGCCAAAATGCCACCACGCGTTTTTGATGCGGCTCCTCTGAAAGTCATTGAGCCTGGAGAGATCTGGAGGGCGTGCCAGCTTGAATCCTTTCAGCCCAAACTAATCATCCTGCTCTCAGTTGGCATGGGTCCGCTTTGCCACTTTTCTACTTCGTTACTCGAATGGGGATGGCAACCTGCCAAGCGAGAGAGGCGAGAATTGCATGACCCTGAAGCCTGAAGCTTTGTCGCCCCACATCAGTCTTGCTGGTGCTTCTAAGGGAAGAGAGGAGTGAGCATACAAAACCGAAATAAGGGTACATATGAAGATTACATAGGGATGATTCTACTCCCTCGAAGCACCAGCAAGATGACCGTGAGGTATGGAAAGCCTGTCGGCGCTGAGTCGTGGCCGCCCCGCGCAGCGACGATCCGCTTCCTTCAGGTCGGCAATGGCTGGCCAGTCAGCTGCAGCTAATCCTACACCCAAAACCCCACTCCTCCAAATGGTTCAGGATCTCATCCATCCAGTAGCCGGCCTCCTTTTGCGTGGCAACGCCTTACTCCGCACAAGGTTAGCACATGGCGCGAGCAGCAGAATGGACACCCGCTGCCTCTGATATGATGCCTGGGAGCTCCAAGACCCTTCCAAAGAACTGAAGTGTCCAAGCAGGATGATGGCTGCCAGCCCATATTCGTGGTGGGCATTCTGCCTTCTGTAAAGAATTCCTCAACAACCCAACATGATCGTCCGACAAGTGTCCTCTCCCACTTTCATACACATCGAACCCTGCCGTCACAAAGATTTACACGGAAGAAAGCACTCTCCCATTAGGCTCAGCAAGCCCCAGCCACTACATGAGTAAGAAGCCATGGGGTAGCCATATGCCTACAAACCAACATCACATGCCTGCTTAAATCAATCATGGTGCTCCTACGGAGCCTCTACCACTGCAGCCGGAGGGGCCAAACTCAAAGGCCCGATTGCTTCCGGCAGCAAGAAGCCGGAAATAGGCTTCGTCCGAACCGAAGAGGCCGGAGATGCAGACTCCCCTGAAGAAGTCTTGGGACAATCAAATTCTTCTACCAGATTCTACCATAGCTTGGGGAACTTGCATGCAGAATATTTGGGTGGATTGCTGGAAGCATTCCATACCAAACCCAGATCGGGCCGCAGAAAGGCTCCTGAGAACCATGACTTGAATCTACAAGGTCAGAAACAACCTCCTGATCTGACCCTGCTCACGAGACAGCAAGCAAACCACCAGCAGCTTGTGATCACGTTCTGCAGCCAAAGTGCCGGCAACCGCGATCTTTGCCTCTTCTGACGGCCTGGCTACCTCAGTTAGCCCTGCTTGCTCTAGTGTGAGATGCAGCTGCATGAAGCCATCCGACTTAAAGGGTATCGTTCCACCTGACACGTTGAACTGGCTCAGTGTTCCAAGAACCTGACTACTGATTTCTTTTGCCTCTCGTCTGCCAAGCGGCGCGAGGATTCACTGGTTGAGGGATCGTCCCAGAGCCGCTCGAGCTCCACATCCACCAGCTCGAAGTCTATGACGCCTGGTGCTGGTAGTCACCCTGCTGAGCCTGCTCTTAGCCTACCGCGTGAAATGCATCTCAACAGCTAGTCGCACTGCACCGTGCCACTGGTTCATGTGCATTCTTAGCTGCCACAAGCTTGCTCAAACTGCGCATGCCCGAGGAATTGTCATTGTGATGCTCGTGGGACTGTGGTTTGGTGGATTGGAGAAGGCTGCGGAGAGAGAGAGGGGGAGAGAGAGAGAGAGAGGAAGATAGAGAGAGGAAAATAACGGGAGAGCGATGCTGAAATCAGTCATAGCCAAGCCACCATGCAAGCGCTTTTTGTCAGGACCTCGGGTGCTGCAATTAGCTCAACAAACTTCAAACACCTCCTACTGTTCTTTGTCCTGCTGCAGCCCTACATCTGAAATCTAATCTTTAAAAAAAAAGAAGCAGCGCTGCCTGACTATCTCTGAAGGGCTCAGCAATGCAAGCAAGTAGATGCGGCTCTGGCGCCGTCAAACCAAGCCACTCGGCAATCCTTGCAACGATGTGGCTGCGCAGTGCCCGCACGCAAGGGGTAATATGGGGATTATATAGGGGATATATAGGGGTTATATAGGGATAATGGAAAAGAAAATGGAAACTACTATATTATAATAGGGTATATATTGGGGTTATATTGGGGAATTTGTAAAATACATTGCGTAGGCTTAGTCTGACATGCAAGGTTGTTGGTGCGCAGTCTTTTGCCAACAGCAGTGGCATGTTGTTTGCATTGGACTGCTTTTAAAGCTCTCCCTTGTTCCGCACTCGGAGTCAACGCTTGAGCGCTTGGACAACATACACTCGCAAATCCGGCCTTGAGTACCAGCCACCGCCACTGCCAGCTTGAGAGGAAAGCCAAATTCTCGCCCATACGCTTCACCCAACCGGACCTTTCCAAAAGGTGGCGCAAATGGACGTAACACTGAGATCTGCAACAAGCTCTCTGCAGCCTCTCAGGTAGCTCCGACACCTCCTTCGCAGGCAGCATCACCTTGTAGCGACTAGTCGCATGCGCGTGGATCTTGCATTCTGCGCTTGTCTGGACCCGAAGCTTGTGACTTCCTCCAGAATAGTGGCCTGCGTGCCCCCCTTGGCAAAGGCTTCTGCCGCAGCTTTGGCGACAGAGTCCTCCTCCAGCAAACGCAGCCAATGCCATGCACAGCTAACAGCTTCTCATCAATACTCTGCAAGCACATCCGGGTACTTTCGCGCCTACACTAGCTAATTCACGTGCGCAGGCGAGTGTGCGCTGACTCCAGCAGGTTTGACAGGCACTGGCTTGTCCTCTACATTGGTGCTTCCGGCTTTTCGCCGGGCTGCGAACTGGTTCATGGCCTCCAACCTTGCAGTGCAGTGCCAAGGCCAACAAAAGACTCCAAGCTGTGTGACGCAGTGACTTCCGCGCGAAGGTGACGACGAGCTCTCAAATCAAGAATTTTGAGCTGTCTGCTGCTTTGCCAGGTAGCCTTTCAACTTCCGACATCTGCTGCAAGTCTTTTGGGTCTCCATCCAGGTCAGACTTACCGCTTTCCTTCAAAGCAGCTGATGCGTACACGGCTGTGCGGGCCCACATCATGAATGTGCAGTGCTACGTGAAGCTTGGCGCACGCGCTCGCCACAAAAGGTAAAAGCCTTGCGCATCTAAACGCCTGAGAGCGAATTATCGCTAACTTATGCTGTCCTCTTCCGAGTCATCATCTTCGAGGCGCACTGCCTCAGTGCATCTCGGCTGTGCTGTATCTGGCTGCACGCCAACAGCGTGTGGCGTGAAGACAAAGTTTGAAAACCCAGGACTTGTCTTGCACGGGATTTTCCAGAATGCTGACATGCCCAGCCTGACGTGCAGCATGCAAGGAAGAGCGCCGGTCTCGTGCACCTGCAGGGTGATAATTTTCATGTTCCACTGTGCAGGGAGGGCCACTTGCTCTTATTTCAATGGCCCCGTGAGCCCTTAGTGCAGGCTGTCTGTTGCTTCATGCTTCTCGCAAACAAGATAGCAAAGCATTGTGCTGACAAAGGCAATGGGTTCAAGAACTTGGGCAGGAACACGGCTGAGACTGCGCCTTCTGCATGGTCTGTCTGTGCCATTCAAGGATTGCCAGATGAAATCTTCATTGACTTGCGCAGAAGCCAGACGGTCTGACGGCAACACTGCACGCTGTAGGATGCTACGATGACTTGAGGAAGTTAAGTGTAATGGTGGCAGTCTGTGCTCGAGTCTCAAGTGACTAAGTAGGTGCTCTCTCTCTCTCTCTCTTGACTGCTGACATTGTTTGAGACGCTGGCGGGTGCTTGAATAGGTTGGACGGCTCGAGCCAGGGTCTGCAATGAACAGTCCACACAACCCCATCTGCCTCGCCCTGAGAATTCGACTAGGTGCGCAAAGATATGCGGAGCCCCATTTAACAAACACCTGCTAGCTTTGAGCATCCAGTACCTTTCTAGCCTAGTAGGCAACACGGGAATGTAACCCCTATATCATCCCCATATAACATATTCCCGTATTCCCTACTAAAAGTTAGGTACAGCCCGGTGCCCAGTGGGGAATGATGGCATCTAATCTCCATGTAATCTCCATTGAAAAAATGCCTTCCCTATTATGACCCCAATATACATCCTATTGTAGTACAGTACTTTTCATTTTCTTTTCCACTATCCCTATACAACCCCAATATATTCCCCACATGAACTCTATATTGCCCCAGTGAGGTACAGGGCCACCTTCAGCCCCTCACAACTTACTGGTGCTTAGCAGGGAATAAGGGAAGTATCCCCCCATTATAATGCAGTAGTTTCCATTTTCTCTTCCATTATCCTTATATAGCCTCAATATATTCCCTACCCTTAGCCCTAAACCCTAAGGCCTGAACCCTAAAGCCCATATAACCCCAACCAACATGGTCAAGCAAACTCTCAGCGCCACACTGCAAGGCGTTGCCGAAGCTCTTCTCCGCGCCTTATTTTGGGGGGGCTGCCCAAAACTAGGGGTACCTTTAAACGGGTTTGTAGGTCTTCGCGTTTCCCAAAATTGGGGGTAACATTTTGGGGGCTCCTATATTAGGGATTAAGGTATTTTGGGGTCTATATGGGGGTCCTCCTATTTAGAGAAACGAACCTTTTCACCATTGCCATCAGAGCTGAATTTAGCGCTCCAAGTCCAAAGCTTTCGCCATCGCTCTCTCTCCTTCTGCTCCCGCTCCTCATTCTGACGCTCAAGCCTCGGGAACAAGGAAAATTGGTTGTCCTGCTTGTCCTTGAGCAAGAAACGGTAGCAATAGCAAGACAGTCAGACCCGAGCTCTTCCAGCCGTTTTCGCTCCTCCTGTTCTTCCTGATGGCAGTGCAGTTTGCACCACTCCACAACTCATAACATAAAGATGCAAGAGCAAACAGGGTAGATGGCCAAGACAACTCTCAGCAAATGAACGCTAGATGACCAAAAGCAAATCAAGCAACAGCTGACGACACGCGATGCAGCCATCGCGTATCAGAAAAGCTCCTTGTCTTTGCGCTCCCTCCACTCGGCAAGCTGGTCCAAAAGCCTGGCCTGCGCGAATGCTGCGGTGTTCCAGGTCTGAGATGGCGGGTTCCCAAAAATTGGGATACCATTTTGGGGACCCCCTTTACTAAGGACTATAATACTTTGGGGTCTATAAACCACCAAATGCCAAAGCAACTCTGGGCTTCCCAGAAAAGTGATACCCGCAAGTAGCTGAATTTAACCATTTGGGCGCTTTCTTCCTGCAGAAAACCCAAGGATGAAAAGATCTGATTGTGGAGCTTCCTGTGCCACTTGCGCTTCTTACTACTATATTGTCCAAAAAACTACTATATAGTATGTTGGGGTTATGTTGGGATAATGGGAAATAAAATGGAAACTACTAAATAGTATGTTGTGGTTGTATTAGGGTTGCTATATTGCTTTAAATACCATGGTATAGGTGTTATGTGAATAATTAATAATACTTAGGGTTTAGGGTTACAATATTATCCCCCTATAATGGAGAATCAGATGGAAAAGACCATTGGAAATAAGATGGAAACTGGGGGAATATAGAGCCTCCATCCTTGCCGCTACACTGACAAACCGACAGAATGAATATCCTCAAGCTGGATCAAGCAGGCTGCCTGTCGCTTGGCAATGCGCACCTGGCGACAGGAAGCCTACAGCACTTCTTCGAGGCGATGTTTCCATTTTTCCATTATTCCTATAGTATAACACCTATATTATAGTAATTTAAACCATATCGTAACCCTAATATAACCTCAATATACCACATTATGAGCTCCTCTTAGGGTTTGAGGCTCCTAAAGAACTTTGAACACTTCGTTACGTCTCAGGACATAATTTTGAGAGCATGATTCAATCTTGGGGGGCTTTGACCAGAGAAACAAAGGACTCAAAAACAGCACCCCTTTGCTCTTCTCGTAGCCATGCCCTAAATCCTAAACCCTCATCCAAAAAATACCTCAATCCTGAACCCTAAACCCTAAATCCTTAACCCAAGACCCTTAACTCAAAACCCTAAAACCATGGTTCAGCCGCATGCTTGTTTGTTCCACCTCCCAAGGCTCCGACCTGAGCCTCGCAACTTTGTTGCTCTTGACCTGAGACCCAAAGGTTGAAATTTTGATGAATAAGGTTTAGGGTTTAAGGCTTTAGGGTTTAAATAGGGTAGGGGATACTTTGAGGTTATATAGGATTATGGGAAAAGGGAAGCTACTACATTATAATAGGGTGTATGTTGGGGTTCTGGTAGGGGATAACAAGACTGGTGGGACAGGATTTCACCATCGTTTTATTTCACGTCGTCAGGCAGATGCCCGTGGCAGACACAATCCTAAACATGCACAGGCTTCCTGACACCGCCTGGGCTCCCCAATACGGACCCAAAAGTGGCATATCATCCTTTTAGATAATCCCATCTAACCCCTATACAGCCTCTATAAGTTGGTATACCTCTTACTTTAAATCCTCAGTGTGGAAACTGTTAAGCCTTGGCCTGAGCACCCGGCGCAGCCAGGTCTCAGCCTCAAAGCGAGCCACGCGGAGGAAGCTGCGCTGGGCCTTGACGCGTGGTTACACTCACTTATAGGGAATGCGAGTACTTAAAACTGGTTTATAGAGGGAGTTACATAAGGTTTTCTCAGAAGGGGGAAAGCCCAGGGACCCCAAGGGATACAAAGGGATGTTTAGGGTCCCTATTGGTAATTGTCTAGGGCCTGTTTTGAAGAACACCCAGGTGGTGTTTTCCTTTGAGCTCAACTCTGTCATTGCCTGTGCTGCCCTATGAGAGGGCCTCAGTAGACAGGGTATCCAGGGTCAGCTGGACATGTCCGCCGAACGGCTTGGGATAATTGGTCCTGAGATGGCCAGGCAAAGGAGGAGAACGAATGAAAAACACTCCATGTGCTTTGGCGTTTTTAACTTGTTCCACTCCAATTGTAAGGCCTCCATGACCTGCAGCCAAGGTACACTGACGGAATGTTCCTTGTTTTGAGCAAATACCATGAGGAGATCCCCCAAACACATGCTGTGCCAGTGCTGCATTCATGGACTGAGCGGAGACTAGCCATACTACTGTGTCAAACGCAAATATCGAACTGAATGCGTTGGAGCGTCATCGACGTCAGCTGCATGGAATGTCTTAGCCTAGGTAGGCTGGCAAATGAGGAGAGCGGAGCGAGCACTCTCGTTGATTCTTGCCCCAAGGTTCCCTCAACTCGCCTACACGCGCAGGTCGAGTGCACAGCACGATCAAGGCGCGCGCTTCTGCTCTGCTCTCCGTCTCAAGGCTGCTTCGGAGAAAGCCTCCTTCGGGATCACAGCCAGTCGTAGTTCGGACATATGAACGCAAACTTGGACAGTCTTCAAGTAGCTAGGAGACAAAGAGGGAGGGAAGAGGCTTGGGAGGGAGGCTTGAGATGGAGACCGAAAGCAACTGTCCACCCGCACCGGTCCTCCTCTGTTGGAGGCTTCCGGAAGGGCAAGCGCCGAGGGGCTCAGCGAAAACAGCAAATGTTCATTCCAAGGCTGAGCCTCCACAACATCTTAGAACTTCCTGGACTCATAACTCCAGAGAACTCGGAACTTACTGCAGCAGCGCAGTTTTGAATCAGCATGGCCGGACTACATGTCTACATGTTGCCGACAATCAGTGGCACTGCTTGTCTGGGTGGTAGGCTGTATCGCTTTGTTGACCGATGAGAGCGCGGGGACTCCTCCTCCATGTATGTCATGACAACACGATGCATTCGAACGCCTCAAAGCAGATGGCTGGTCTTGGACTGCTCCATGCGTTTGTGGTCTGCAAGGTCTCCTCGTCACTAGGTGGAATCGGGTGAAGTACCTCCGAAGTTTTACAAAGCAGAGGCCATTTCAGCAAACTTTTCACATCTTTGCCTCGCTCCGTGTCTGCTCAGCAGTGCTGGCAACCACAGCCTCGCTTTGTGCCTGCGACACAGTCCCGGCGAAATCACAGCACAGAAGTGTTATGGCTGTCGATCTGGGTTAGCCTTGTAGGTTCTGAGTCCGGTCTGGGTAGCGAGACATGGTCTTTGGCAAGGGTGCATGAGGCCAACTACGTGTCAATCCGATCTGTCGCCCACCTCTTCCGCATCTTGCGACGGCTCTTCCTGAAGATATTTAACATGTAGCCAAGCTGCTGTGCAACCTTGGCAGCTAGTCAAGCCCTGCCTCAGGGATGTCAACGTACTCTCCATTGCTGCCAGCTGATGGAATCAACTCTGCTTTTTCATCCTCAAATGGGGCAGCCTGCATTTTTTCCCAAGGTGCTCGACTCTAAGCTCCGCCTTTCTGTAGCTCTCTCTGAGCACTGGTAGCTGACCCTTTCTTGCCCCCCCCCCCCCCCCCC